CTTTAGTAAAGAAAATGGTTCTATATAGAACCATGAACACTCAAAGAACCCTTTGCATGATTAAAGGGTTCTTTAGATTGATGGAGAATGTGTTGTACATGATTCTATATATAGAACCTTTTTAAAAAGGGTTCTATATAGTACCTAAAAGGGTTCTTTTATTTACAAGCTTGACACCATAACTGTAGTAGAACCCTTTTGAGTGCCAAAAAGAAAAAGGTTCTATATAGAACCATCTACAACACATTCTTTGTCAATCTGAAGAACCCTTTCATGATGCAAACAACCCTTTAAGTCTCTTTTCTCTGAGTGTTCATGGTTCTACCAAAGAACCCTTGAAGAACCATCATTTTTAAGAGTGTATCAAGATCATTTTATGCATTTATCTGCCACTTTACTGCTTTCCTTTCATTGAAAACATTTATTCCATACTTTTTAACCCTCAAATTAAAGGTCTTTCCTATCACCATACCCTTTAGAACCTTTAGAACCCTTTGGGAACCTTTATGTTTAGGAGATTTTGTGTGATAAACAAAGGGACAGGCAGTAAACGGACTCAAACAATTTTTCCATTATTTTTATAATTTTTTTTTTGTCTAAAACGTGTCCAGATCAGCTTGGAGCGTTTAGTGGAGTCAGAACCGTTTTGTGTGAGTTCAGTATGATGTAAAGGTGTCAGGAGGGCTGAGATGCTCTGGACTGTTTGCTCAGGAGACGCTATTCTACACGTCCTGTAATTATCTTTATTATTTTTCTTCTGTGAATGTCCTGTTGTAGTAAAATGACCCCTCTTACCCTCCGCTTAAAGAACTGCATTGCTTTTTTGTAGATTTTTGTGGATTTTGTTCTGTTTTTTCCATTTTTGAATGTTTAAATTTCATGAGTTAAAAGCTCATCATTCTACACTTTCATATACGTCTTTTAAGTTTTGAAATCTTTGTTATCCAGAGCTGTTTAAAGGAAAACTCCAGCGGTTTTCAACCCAACAGAAGCCCTAAAGGATTCGCATGTTTGTTTTCTTCTCTTCAACTTATTTTCATTTGTTTTTTCAAGATCTCAAGCTACTTATATAATTATTGTTACATAACAAATGTTACCTCGATAAAACAATGTCTGTTATGTCATAATTGATGTAAATAACTGGAGACACTGGAAAAAAAAAACAAATGAAAATAACTTTTCATGGAAAAATGGACTAAAAAAATGTGAATCCATGATACCTTAGGAGATTTCACATGAATTTCTGTTCCTAAAAGCAGTCGTCTGCCAAAAACAGAGTGGCCAATAGGAACGCTCCTTAGATCTTCTCCTATTGGTCAGGCCTGAGTTTAGGATTAAAGGGAAACTTCAGTGTTTTTCCAGCCTAATCTCTGTGTGCTGCATCTGTAGTGCACAATAGATTTTGTACTTACTAGAAAAGGTTGCACTTTATTTGGATGGTCCACTGAAGATGCTCAGTCTTTTCTTAACTTACAAATAAATATTTATTAAATGCAACTGACCCTGAAGTTGCGCATTAAAGGTTTTATTAAGTCTAACTCGAACCCGAACACTAACCCGAACCCTAAATCGAACTGTAAACCTAACCCTAAGCTTAATGTTGATAAACAACCAAGTATCACCAGGAAGTTGGTTAATCATATAAGTATCTGTAGATCATCTATAGGGGACCATGCAAATAAAGTGTGACCAAAAGCAGAAACTCCACTGACTCATAACTCACCTGTGATCAGAGACCGGTGGGCCGGTGGGCCGGTGGGCCGGTGCTCTTTACTGAGTTCAGGGGAAGTTGCTGAAATTACTGTCTGCATTATTTGACTATGTTACAAGCACAGCAGACAGAGATTAGGTTGGAAAAACACTGAAGTATCCCTTTAAAGGGCAACTTCACCAATTTTTCAAAAATGTCTGTATTTGAGATGTAAACAGAGAGATTCAGAGTGGTTTGGTGTGAAATGGTTAAGATGTCTTTACAGTGGTGGTGATAGGAACCAGGGGTCGCCATGACTACAACACAAATATAGACAATTTATTTACTATCCAGAACCACCAGTGAACCTACACGAGTCTTCTGAGTTTATATGGAATGTTGATGATGGAAAATAGTGGAAAATCTGAAATAATAAGTTTTCTTTGGGGACTATTTTGCCTCACAGCGCCCTGCATGTATCCCTCCACCATGAATGGAGTTTAAGTTCTCTAAACTATCATAAAACAGTGTCTCAGTCATCAGGCAGTGAATTCATAACCATTTCATGTAGGAACTTTCTGTGAGGGAGCTTTTAGAGGTGGACGTCTGGTTCCTATCACCACCGCTGTGACCAGTTCTGACTCGGTAAGTTTCTCTAGAACGGAGCGTTTCACACCAAACCACTCTGAACCACTCTGAACGACTCTGTTTACATCTTAACCACTTAATTATGCACAATGTTGTAAATTTAGGTGGAATTTCCCTTTATATGTGTGCCTTTTCATTGTAAAGGTGGCCTTTCATGTACTTTTATAATGGCTGAGATGATTTTCAGGGCTGATTTATACCAAATTCATTAGTAGACGATACTGACTATGATCTGAATTCATAAAACTGGCTCTTAAGAATAAGAAGTCTGATCATTAAAACGGTTGTGCGGTCTCAGAGTTAAAACACTGAAGTTCAGTGCTTTAAACTTTACGAACCCTCTTAAGCCAACAGGGGACATCAACTTTCTCACATTCCTCATTAAGTGTGGTGTTTCAGTGCTCTGATCAGCTCTGAAACTCTGAGCAGCTCTGTGAACGTAGCCGACTGCTGACCGGGCCCTGAATGTTTTTTTTAATCCACATATTTATTATTTGTCATTATAACTGCGGCTGTAGTTTGGTGTACATGAATAAAACAACCCACAGTCACGGTTCTCACTCCAGTTTTTAAACACCTCAGTGTCGCTGCTGGACTGAGAATAGTGCACCACCCAAATAGTACCTGCTCTGTGAGGATCCATGGGGGTCCTGACCACTGAAGAACAGGGTAAAAGGGGGCTAACAAAGTATCAGAGAAACAGATGGACTACAGTCTGTAACTGTAGAACTACAAAGTGCACCTATATAGTAAGTGGAGCTGATAAAATGGACAATGAGCGTAGAAACAAGGAGGCGGTCAGAATGTTATGCCTGATTGGTGTATATAGTCCTTTTTACAACAGGTGTCACAAAGCAGCTTTACAGAAAAATCCGGGTCTGAGCCCCCATGAGTGTCGCCAATGGCGACAGTGGCAAGGAAAAAGAGCAAGAGGAAGAAACACTGAGAAGAACCAAGTCTCAAAAGGGGAACCCATCCTCCTCTGGACCACACCGGATAGTAAACAGCGTTAGTATAAAATATTAGAATATAAAACGGGGAAAAACAGGCGGAGCAATGATTAATTAGATAGACTGAGTTTATGCAGCAGCAGCAGGAGGGTCAGTTCATGAGGGTGAGGTTTGCACAGCTTTGTACAGCGTGAAGCTCCATGGTGGTCAAACTGGTGCAGATCAGCCAGTAGAGATGGAGCTCTGGTGACGCCCATGTGGGAGTTAATAAGACGGCCTTTGACAAGATTTTAATACGTGTGCTATAAAAATAAAATTGGCTGCTGCTTTGTTTCCTTATAAACTCACAGATTATGGAATTTTACAGTGACTTTGTCTTATAATCTCTCATTCTAGGACAGGTATGGCAACCTGGGGGCCAAAGGTCTGTGGAGATCAGCGTTTTCCCTCATCTAACACTCTGAATTCAGTTCATGAAGGCCTGATGAGCTGAATCAGGTGTGTTTAATGAGGCGGTGAGCTGAAGTCTGTGAGGACTGGAGCCAGACACATGCATTTTAGGACATTATAAATAATAGTCTAAAACAGGGGTCAGCAACATGCGGCTCTTTTACTGCCCTGTTGCTCCACAGCTGAATCAGACTAGTAGGTAAAAATAAAATAATCCTCCTTTACAGTAAAATAAAGCTCTGCTGATCGTTCAACACAGTTTAACAATAAATGGTCTTAAACTCTGGAGTTAATGTAGAACTGCTGATTCACCCTTTAACCCTGAAGATCAGCGCAGACTGCTGGTCACCATAGCGACACAGACAACAGTCTCGCCTAGCTAGTAGCTAACGAAACGGCAAAGAGAGAGATTTAAGACGAACATCAATAATTTGGAGATGAATGGACTTATTAGTGTTTATAATCACTCCAGTCAGTTTATCAATTGCCAGCTTGTTGTTTGAATTGTGCCGTTCCACCTTAAATGGCACAGCAGTACATTCTGGCTCCTCAGGCACCATTTAAGGTGGAACAGGAAAATATGAACAAAAAGCTGGTGTATGGGAAGCTGCAGCCTTGTAAAAAGTGGAACGTTGAGAGACGTTTTACAAGAAACTGTTCTACTTTTGAGGAAAAGTTTCCTGCCAGAGATGTGAGAAAAGCAGCTGTAGCTAAGCTAAAGCTTAAAGCAGAGCAAAGTTAGTCTGTGTTTTTGTATATATTTTTTTAGCCTATATAGCACATCAGCACATACTGAGACATATATACAGCCAGGATGGTAAAATAGACATAAACTGTGTCTCCGAAAGTGGTTTGATTTTTGTTGAAAGGACAAAATGGCTCTTCTTAAAATTTGGGTCGCGACCCCTGTTCTAAGAGAACCAGCTGTGGTCTGGTTTGGCCTTGTGTTGCCGTCTCTCATGTTAGAAAGCAGTTGGCTGTTGCTGAATTCTGTGAATGTGTTTTTAAATGAGTTTGAAGCTGCAATCTGAGACAGACAGTTCTTATAAACAGCTCTTTAACCAACACTGACTTTAGGCGGTTACTTTCGAAACTCTGCTCGCACTACTTTGTTGGTAATGAACCACTACAAAGTTCTTCCCTCTGGAAAACTAGAACTGATTATATGGTTTATTTTATAAATAATTTGAGTGTTTGGAGTCAACAGGGCTGCGTTCAGCCTTAATAAAACATAGCGAAAGGGTTATTTACATGTAAACGGTGCGTTTAACACTGTTGTGTTACACAAGCGTTGCAACTACAGCAGCTGGGTGGGCCATTCCTGGTGTCC